GGCAGTCTGCTTCTGTAAAGATTACAGCCTTGGAAACCCTATGGGGCAGTTCTATTCTGTCCTATAGGGTTGCCAGGAGTCAGAATCACAACTCAATGGCAATAGGTTTGGTTTTCTGGGTATTTATTTCAACATGATTAACTACAATTTTGTGCCCTTTCTAATATTATTAACGTCTGTTGTATATAAATATATATATATTTTGGTTTCTTGTATAACTTTTCTATATAACTCTATAAAAGGGAGAAAAACTATCTAAATCAGTAAATAAACTCATATTAACTTTTCCTAAAGGAGTTTTAAGAAGCAAAACTTGCTGTAATATATGTTGTTGTTGTTGTTGTTAGGTGCTGTAGGGTTGATTCTGACCCACAGAGACACACATATAATTTCGATCGGATAACTAGACAGATACAGATATACAGATATATATATGTGTGTGTATATATATATCATTGACCAGCAGGCTAATGGCTAGCTATACTTACCTAGCTGTACTTTAAGAAGATTATACTGATCCTTGTGTTGCTGAATCTGAGACACTTGCTGTGTGACTGCTGTCTGCAGCTGTTCGTTTTGACATTTTAATGTAGAAACCTGCTGCTTTAATTCCTCAAGCTGCAGGTCCTGTGAAACACAACGTAATTCAAGTGTTTTTAATTCATACTAATTAGGATTGGGAAGCCGAACAAATTAAAAATTAAAGATTACTTTGGTTCAGGATGTTAAGGTGCTCAACACTTCCAAAATCATCCAATAATTAAGCAGTAACATTTCAATATATGCACCAAGGCCAATTAACATGCAGCAGAACTGTTAAGATTTCAATTAAGAACCCATTAATAAGTACTATGGCACAGCCTGTAATCTGACTGCAATTAAGGGGGAAAATCAAATTAAAAAACTCCATTTTATGTCCCATCAAAACATTTAAGAACTTTACACCAAACTAAGAAACTCAGTATATGTATGTGCACATATGCATCTGTACTATTTTTACCATTAAAAGACAATCACTGAAGGATATACAACATGATTAATGTAATTTTTAATCACTAAATTGTACACCTGAAAAATGTTAATTGGTAAATGTTGTATTTTATATATATATATATTTACAACAACAAAAAAGACAATCATGTAACAGAAGATTTAGAAGATTCAAAAAAGAAAAAAGAACTTACAACTCTCACCATCCTAATATAACTACAATTGGAATTTGATATATTTATTTTCTTCTAGCTGCATTTAATCCATGTTTTTTAAGCTTGTCATAATCAGTCCATCTATAATTTTGTAATCTTAAACTCACGATTATATCCTAATTTTTCCTTATTGATACATACCTTTCATAATCATAATTTTTAATGCTCACTAAATATCTGATCAAGTAGATGCAATATAATTTACCTTCAACGTTTTTGACACCAAGGTCGCTTTTGACTTTTCAAAATGATAAGTATCACTACAATGAATCTCTTAGTTCATATAGTTTTTTCTCTAAATTTTGGGGAATTTCCTTAGGAAGGATTCTCAGATGTTATTCAAAGGATGTAAGTATTTTATAGCTATCAGTGCTTGTCGTCTAATTGTCAACTAGCATTTTAAATGGTGAGAATATTTAAAATTAACATCTAAAAAAGAGTCATTATAATAACTAAGGAGCTTTCCTGCCGCAGTGGTTAAGAGCTGTGGCTGCTAACCAAAGGGCTGGCAGTTTGAATCCACCAGCCCTCCTTGGAAACCCTATAGGGCAGCTCTACTCTGTCCTATAGGGTAGCTATGAGTCGGAACCGGCTCCAAGGCACCTAACAACAACAACAACATAACTAAGAGTTAAATAACTATTTTTTTCCCTTCCAAATCAACATTATTTGTCAGTCCCAAGTATAGGCTGTACATCATATTTCAACTGTTTATCTTCTGTTGCCCCAAAGCTATTACATTTCACCAACTGGAAATGACAGCATATTTGTACCAAGATATGCATGAAAAATCCTAACAACCATGGATAGTTTGATGACTCAAATTTGGTTATTCAAAGATGATTCTAATTTATTGATGTTTGCTAATGGAATAGCTAATATCGAGCGCTAAATATTCCACTATATTTTTATTCTTCCTTGAATTTTAATCTCAGTAGTGTGTCCTACTGTGGAAAATAAATCACACATAGTTCTCAATTTACAGGGTTCCACCATTAAGCTTATGCTCTTACTTGCCCCATCTGCCACAAAATGTACACAATCAGCAGGCTGGGGTAGAGGGCAGTACAGGTAAGGGGATACAACCTGCCCCACAGGGAATACCTCCAGTGTATTTTTTTTAATGACATTGGAATTTTAACAACATCAATGATCTCATTTTCCAGATAATACAAATCTAGAATTTCTAGCAATTGCTAGAATTCACCTAGACACCATGAAGGGAAGTTAAATGAAAAAACAAAACAAACAAACAAAAGCTCCAAGAAGCGCATTCTGAAAGTAATGCAAGGTTTAAGGTGCTCAACACAATGCAAGTAATGGAGGTTCACAAGTATCCTCCAAAAAAAATGTCAATTGACCACTTCAAAAATGTAGTTTCAACTTAACTCTATCAGCTACAAATTTTCCTTATCTAACCTAATATCATTTATTCAGTCATCTAAGACAGAAACCTAGGGATTACATTTGACCCTTTCTGCTCCCTCACCCACATCCAATCATTACAAAGTCCTGCCAGTTTTACCTTCTTCAGTTTCCACATTGTCAAATTAGTTCCCTTTACACAGCATAGCATAAGCTTTTCGAGTTCCGGTAATCTATCTGTATCTGAATTCCTGTTCCATCCATTACCGAGTGACCCTGGGCATGTTTAAATTCTCTAAGTCTCAGATTCCTCATTTATTTTAAACTGGAGATCCTAACTACTTTGAAGGGATGTTGTGGAAGTTAAATGAGACAGCATTTAAAATATGCTTAGTGAGCACCGGGAACACAGTAAACAATACACAGTAGCTATTATCATCATCATTTTCCCTATCAGTGTCCTATAGCACTATATCAACGATGGTGAGGATGGTGCAGGACTGGGCAGTGCTTCGTTCAGTTGTTCATAGGGTCTCTATGAGTTGGAACTGACACAACAGCACATAAACAACATCAGTGCCCTCATTTTCCTCCCTGGCCTACCACAACAATCTCTTTCTTGGGCTCCCTCCCCTCTAGCCTTGTCCCTCAGATTTCTCCTTTACGCAGCTGCCAGAATGTTCTATGTACATGCCAGTAACGCTAAACTCAAACAAATCATGCTGTTTGTCATCTCCTTCTGCCTAGTTTACTCCTAATTCATCCTTTAGGACTCAGCTTCTCTGCTTTCCCCAATCCCCTGTTCCTATCTAGATAAATTAGGTGCCTCTCAGTGCTACCATAATACCTTCAATGATCTCTATCACTGGACTTAATTTTATATTATGTTTCAATAATCTATTTATGGGTTTATCTCCCCATGAGATTGTGATATGGGAACATGTTTGATTCATGTCTGTATCCACAAATCCTGCACAGTGCTTAGCTCGTATTAAGTGCTCAGTCTGCTGAATACTCAGATGTTTTTGATTTAGGAAAAAAATGAGTTTTATTTTCTGTATCTTCTTTCATTTGAAGTGCCAGGAAAAATTCTCCACTAATGCAAAATGAGTCAGTATATTAGAAAGTGTTTACAATTCATTAGGACTTACCTGCTCTCGAATCATATTTTTGTAGTGAGTCACAATACTGTCATGCTGTTCTAATGTTTTCTTTACCTCTTCTTCTTTCTTATCTTCTTCACTGGACTTATAAATAGCCTTAGTTATAACACCTGTAAAAGAAAGAAAGCTTATTTAAAATTTGTCTTAGGGGGGAAACCAAAGTCTCAGAGAAGAAACTAGTCTACACGGCTAATAGCCTACACAAAGCATGGCCTCATCTACCCTGAGACCAGAAGACTAGCTGGTGCCTGGCTACCTCTACCTACCGTTCTGATCAGGGCCACAAGAGACAGACTCTGACAGAAGGGGAGAAAAACACAGAACAGAATTCAAATTCTTAAATAGTCCTGACTTACTGGACCAGCTGATACTAGACTCCCTAAGACTATCACCCTGAGTTACTCTTTAAACTTGAACCCAAACTATCCCCTGAGGTCACCTTTTAGTGAAATAACAGACTGGCATACAAAATAAAGGCTATTATCTGTGAGTATGGTGCTCTATTAAAACTCCATCTATATGAGACCAAAATGTCACCAACTATTGTAAAGCAAAGATGAGAAGGGGGCAGGGAAACTAGAGTACAGGAAATGGAACCAGAATGCAATTAAAGAGAAGGCTGACATATTATGAAAAATGTAACTAATGTCACTGAAGAAACTGTCAAATGGGAACCTAATTTGCTGTGTAAACTGTAACCGAAAACACACAGTACTATTTAAAAAATCTGTCTTAAGTATTTTAAATACTATTTTATTACCAAGAGTTAATCAGTAAAAATATATGGCCTAACTCCCTGACAGATAAAAAATGATCTTTCCAATCTTACTGAAAGTCAAAGGTCCTTCAATGGGCTACAGACTAAGAGACGGAGTGGGGGGGAACCCAACCCTACTTTGAGGCTTATCATGTAACCTGCACATGTCCAGAAAATCCATGCACAATATAATCACAAGTACTTTCTAATGAATATCAATACAAAGCTTCTAGTCTTACCTTCAAGTTCTTTCACTAGCTTCGTAAACTCATGATCAAATATCATGTATTCTGGACTGGGAAAGTTTGGCTGGGGTTTCTGAGACGCTCTGGAATACAACTCATGTTTGCTAATAAATCCTAGTTTCTCTATGAAATTCTCTTTGCCAATCCTCTTCTCTATAAGTTGTTTTAGCTTCTCTCTACAGAGATAAGCATATTGAGATGTTTTAAAAAACAGCCATAACAAAACCAAAAAGCTTGGTCTACATTATAATTTAGCAAAAAAATAAAAAATAAAAAAGATCTCCTGATGCTATTAGCAAGTCATTTTCCCCTTACTTACTTCATGTAGCTCTCAAGCGAGTTATCATTGAAGTAAATTGAAATGCCCAACAAAAGAGCACATAAGCCTTGGACCAACTGCTCTTCCTCTCCAAGATTTTCTGCAATTTGTCCTGTAAGCTTAAGTCTTTGTTAAGGAGGCTAATGATCATAATAATTTATTTTCCAATTTGAATTTGATATATATTTCACATTCTTACAAAAAATCCCATATATATATATACACAGTCCAATCCAGTATAAGACATAAGCAATGGTGCGCGCGCGCGCACACACACACACACACACACACACACACACACAGCTTATACAAGTATCATTACCACCTTAACAGTTTAACAAGCTGCAACACAAGTAAGATGGTGGAGTATTCAAACATTTTGGGCATTGTACTACTTCTAATTGTGAGGAATAATTTAAAAAGGTAAACGACAAACACCTACATGTATCTTACTAAAACATAAAGGATACAAATGGAACATTGGCTGAATTGTGAAGAAAATGCGTTACTGCAATGGGGCAGTTGCTTAACCAGGTACAAAGCAACATTAATAATCCAACTCTTGTCTGTATTTTGCTTCCCTGAAATAGATAAATTGACAAAAATCTCTTTCCATTCGTTTCAGTTTTTTCAAACTTAAAGTTGCACTAAGATCTCTTTTCACTATAAAAAGCATTTTCACAGCTTATGAAAGACATGTCAGGAATCCAGATTAAAAAACTGAACAAGAGAATGCATTCTTGTGTCCTCCATAGGCTGCACTTCAAAAAAAAAAAAAAACCAGACAGCAGAAATTAGAATTGATCCATGTTCATAAGCATGTGATGGGTTACCTAAAATACTATTATATAAACCTGGTCTGCGCTAAAGAGAAATTTTATGATGTGGATTCTTTAGAAAAGAAAATTAATCCTAAAAGACTTTGCAATAACATAAACTTACTTGCCTGACACGTTTGGTAACAATGTTTCAGAATTTTAAAAACAAGTTCCTGATAAAAAGACAAATTCTTCCTCCTTCAAAAAATAAAATATGAAGAACTTCCTGAATTATTTAGTCAAATTCCTTGAGGGAATAAATTCCCTACCAAGAAAATAAATAAACTATGTTATAAACATGTCAGATAATGAGAATTCACAAAAATAATCAAGGGGAAAAAATGTTTAAATTAGCTAAGTGCCTCAAACCACTAATTATACTGCTGCCAAGTACAGTTAAATAATATTGGAAATTAGCATGTTCATCAAAATTATATATTTTCTAAACTTTAATGCAATATATTTAGATCTCCTGTGTAGAATATTCTCTTAGTTTATAATATGGCCATTGTCCATATTTATATTACTATAACCTGTATTTATTTTTTTAAGAAAAGCAAAGCTTGTCTGAAACAAAATAATGGGAAACAGCACAGTAATGCATCACTTCGGGGCAATTTCAGAAAATATTCAAAATACAATTATTCAAAGACCTAGACAGGGAATGGATTTAAAGTAACCATCATGTGTTTGGCACAACCGGCTACCACCTAGACCTCTCTAATTACAGAGAGAACGGAACAGTCCATTTACAAAAGCAAGAAAAAAGATAAAGTACTCAGAAATGAACCTAGTCAATAATGTACAAAATCTAAACGAAGAAAATTTTACAACACTTTTGAAGGGCAGAAAAGTAGACATAAATAGAAAAACCATGTTCTTACACAGGAAGACTCAATATCATGAGGATGTTAATTCTAAGTTAGTTTCTAAAAGTAATGGGTACCAAATAAAAATACCAACAGGCTTTTTTCCCCCAGAAACTAAACAACCGGATTCTCAAGTTCTTATGGAAAAATAACAAGCAAGAATAACCAGGGAAAATATGGAAAAAAAAAAAAAAAAAGTAATGATGGGAAACTAGTTTATGAACAGACAGGAATCAAGAGACAGAACAGAAAGTCCAGATATAAACTTATATACATGGGACTTTAGTATATGAAAAAGGTTGTATATAACCATCACTGGGTTATAGGTAGACTTAAAAGAGTGTTGGGAGACAACCAGATAGCTATCTAGAAAAAAGATCAGCTGTCCTTATTTCAAACAGTTCATCAAGAAAAATGGAACAAAAATTTAAATATAGAAAACAAAACCAGAAAGTATGAGATGAAAATATGGGCCAATTCCTTGAAATCTTGAAGTAGAGAAGGCTTTCCCAAATATGGCTTAAGATGCAGAAGCCATGAAAGTCTGATAAATTAGATCATATCATATGTGGCAAAACAAAACAAACAAAACGAAACAAATCCCACAAAAGCCCTCAACCCAAAACAAAATACAAAAGTCAAATGTATTTGTAACTCATATCAAAAACAAAAGGTTAAACTCTCCAACATAAAATTGGTACCTATAAAACAAGAAATTATCAATGATCCAATAGCCAAAAGGGCAAAGGATATGCAATATAAGAAAGGAGAGTTCATAGATAAATCCCAAATGCCTATAATATATGAAAACCAATTCAAACAAAGATACAGAAGACCTAAACGGCACAATCAGCCAACCTGACCTCAGACATATACAGAACACTACACCCAACAGCTGCAAGGTACACATTCTTTTCCAATGCACATGGAATGTTTTCCAGGAAGCAATCCTCAACAGGATCCAAAATGTTGAGAAAATACAAAGTATCTTCTCTGACCACAATGCCATCAAGGTAGATATTAACAACAGGAAGAGCAAGGAAAAAAAAATCAATTACACGGAAACTGAGTAACACCTTGCTTAAAAACCACTGGGTAATAGAAGAAATCAGGGATGGAATCAAAATTCCTAGAATCAAACAAGGATGAAAACACATCATACCAAAAACTTTGGGACACAGCAAAGGCAGTCCTCAAGGACAATTTATAGCAATAGATGCACACATAAAAAAGAAGAGAAAAAATCAACACACTTAACTACAGAACTGGAACAAACAGAGAACAGCAAAAAAAAAAGCCCACAACCACTAGAAGAAGGAAATAATAAAGATAAGAGCAGAAATAAATGAAATAGAGAATAGAAAAACCATAGAAAAAATAAAAAAAAACAAAAGTTAGTTCTTGAAAGGTTCAACAAAATTAACAAACCACTGGCCAGAATGACAAAAGAAAAACAGGAGAGGACACAAATAACCCAAATAAGAAATGAAATGGGGGACGTTACAACAGACCCAAAGGAAATAAAAAGGATCATAATAGAGTATTATGAAAAACTATACTCCAACAAATTTGAAAACCTAGAAGAAATGGATAAATTTCTAGAAACACACTACCTACTCAAACTACCACAAAGTGATGTTGAAAATCTGAACAGACCCATAAAAAGAGAAGAGACTGAAAAGGTAATAAAAAAAACTCCCAACAAAAAAAACCCCTGGCCCAGATGGCTTCACTGGAGAATTCTACCAAATATTCAGAGAAGAGCTTATACCAGTACTACTCAAACTATTTCAGAACACAGAAAAGGAAGTGACACCTCCAAATTCATTCTATGAAGGCAGCATAACCCTGATACCAAAACCAGGCAAAGACGCCACAAAAAAGAAAATTACAGACCAATGTCTCATGAATATAGATGCAAAAATTCTCAACAAAATTCTAGCCAGTAAGCATTCAGCATCATATCAAAAAAATAATACACCACGACCAACTAGGATTCATACCAGGTATGCAAGGATGGTTCAACATTAGACAGTCAATCAACGTAATCCACCACATAAATAAAAGGAAAGAAAAGAATCACATGATCATCTCAATTGATGCAGAAAAGGCATGTGACAAAGTCCAACACCCATTCCTGATAAAAACTCTCAATAAAATACATATAGAAGGGAAATTTCTCAACATAATAAAGGGCATCTATGCAA